GTGTGGGAGTCACCCAGATGATGGTGTTTTGTTATAGCAACCCAAGTGGCAAGCACGGACCCTTTACAGAAAAAGCGCCGATAACTGACTTATTTATTCTTCATGACTTCGGAAGCCCCTCTCGGCCTCTGCAGTAGCCGGAGGATTTGTGCTATGACCAGCCCTTCCAGACCCTACCAGCTGCCTTCTGACTGACGGCATCCCTGAGGCAGACAGAAGGACCAGGGCATCAGCAAGCCCCTCCCCAGCAGTCTTTATCCAGTGATTGATGGGGGGCACATGAGTCTTCACTCTTCCCCCACCACGGGCGAACCGACTCTCCCCTGGTGCCCTGAGTTGCCCAGGAGATTAAACTGCATTACTGTTTGCCAGCTGCTTCCCTCCCTTCCCTGTCTCACGAGCATGGCCCCATGATGCTTCCTGGGGTCCCCTCCCAAGTAAGCGCCTTGACCCCAAATCCTCACTTCAGGCTCTGCCTCTGTAAACGTCTGCTTCCTTCCGTGTCTGCCTCGCAGACATGACTTCATTGTTTCCCACCACGTGAGGCTGAGGGTAAACAGGCGGCAGCTCACAAGCTCCAGGTGTCAACTAAGGGCGAGTTGGCTGCTCACTCACAAGACCCAGAACAGGCACGGGAAGCGAACCCTCAGGCTGAGCCTGTCTGTGCCTTGTGGCTCTGTTGTCTGCTCCTGGTGCCACAGGTGCCTGGCACGTGGCACCTTCCTGCCTGAGGGTGGCGGAAGAGCCTCTGGACCCGGACACCAGGGATCCTGAGAAGTGGGGCGCTTCTGTAAGGAAGTGCAACTTCTGAGCACCCAGTGACGACAAAGCCCTGGCTGAGCCTTCACATTTTCTACTGATTTTGCAGAGAGTTTTCATGCAGCTCAGTGAATGGCTTTATTGAGGGCCACTGATGATGGCCCTGTGCGCCCCGAGGCTGGGCTAGAAGTCAGCTGGGGCCCTGCCTCACAACAGGGAGGGCAGTTAATTACCTAATTTGTCTTTGTCCTGATTTGACCAGTTGGTAAATGGGAAGCAGTATTATGTCTCGTTTTAAAGGGCCAGCCAATCAGTCTCAAAAAAAAAAAAAAAAAAAAAAAAAAACCAGAAAAAAAAAACACACACACAGTCACGCACTTGGTGCTTGGAAAACCCTCAAGTTAGGGGCAGCTGGTAAAGCTCATGTCTGAGCCGAGATGCTGTTTTTTTGTAAACAAATTCTCCAAGGAGAGGCAGTGTTGACAGCATTGCCTATGCTGGAGAACATGTCCCGAGACAGGGACCGCGACAGACCTTTGGGGCGGAGCCTCCAGAGGGAGGTCAGAGCCTGCTCCCCACCGGGCCTCTCCGTGTGTGCTGGGTCTGGAGCCAAAGAGGCCCACCAGGCACTTCGTGCTCTCCCTCCAGGTCAGGCACTGAGCAGCCCTACGCGAGTCTGAAGATGCAGGCCATACAGTGCTGGCTCTGCCCTCCGATGGCAGCGGGGATGGAGAACAGCAGCCAGACTGGAAGAACCCACGACGTGGTGGTGCCAAGCTTTCAGGGCCAGGGATTGAACGTCAGCAAGGCAGAGAGGGGGATGTCTGTGCTCACAAAGAAAGGTCTGTGGTTTTCAGTCCATGGGGGAAACAGAGAGAGAATGGGGCGTGGTGGGCAGGGGTCTGCTGTGGGGTGAGGGATGAGGCTCCCGACAGCCTATTCAGGAACAGCTGGGGGAGGGGGTAGGTGTGTGCTGCGTGCCTGGTCCTCAGTCATACTGGGGCCAGGAGGTGACAGCTTTGTTGTATGGGGCCAGCATCAAGGCACAGCAGGTTAAGATACCACTTGTAACACCAGTGTCCCATATTGGAGCACTGATTTGAACCCTGGCCACTCCACAGCTGATTCAACTTCCTGGCAATGCACTTGGGAAGATAATAGAAGATGGTCCAAGTGTCTGTACCTCTGCCATGCTCACAGGAGACCAAGATGGGCCAGGCTGGGGTTCCAGGCTTCTGGCTTCTGGCTGGGTCAGCTCTGGCTGTTGCAGCCATTTGGGGATGGAAGATTACTCTCTCCCTGTCAGTCTCTCCTTCTCTCCACTGCTCTAATTTTCAAATAAATAAATATTTTTAAAAAGCACAAAAAAACCTCAGCCACTTTTTTTTCCCCAACCACTTTTATATATGCTCACTATAGAAAATTATGAGCACATGCACAAGTTAAAAGCAGAAAAATAATCATTCTACTCCCCAAACCAAAGACAATTATAAGAACTTTAATGTTGATTTTTGGCACATTTTTAAAATTTCATTTTGAAATGTAATTGAAGAAATATTGTAGACAATTCTGTATTTGGCTCTCTTTTTATGGCATAAACATTTCTTCATTTACTAAAACCCTTTGTATGACTACTTTAATGGCCTACAATGTCCTGATAAATGGAAGCTTTGTGCATCAGTCAGCATCCAGCCGGAAAGCGGGACTCTGTTTTGAGAGAGAGAACTCCCAGCAGGGAGTGGGTTACGTGGGTGGGGAGAAGCCAGGCAGAGGACCGAGGGTGATCCCGAGGTGGGGAGCAGCAGGAGCCCACTCTCTGCCTGAGAGCTGGAAGCACAATGGGAGGAGATGATGCTACCAGGTCTAGAGCTGCTAGTCCGGGGGGAGCTGGCACAGGTCCCGGCACGCCCAGTAGGTGCTGAGATCCTGGAGAGGAAGCTCTCACATCCAGAGATGCTGCGGGAAGCAGAGGCAGAGAGGCCCCACCTTCCCCTCCCTCCAGCCTGTAACGCTTCTAATGGGCTCAGGCTGACAGAGGCCCCTTTCTTGCTCCCAGTGTTCAGCGGCTCCCCATTACCAACTGTGTAAACCTTTCCAGTGTGACTCCAGGTTAATATCCACGAGCATCTCTTGTCATTAGCTCTGCTCATCAAAAACCCAAGCTCCGGACACAGGAAATTTTTCCTGGTCTTAAAACCTCTCCATGCATGCTGTTCCGGTATCCCGGAATGCTCTCCTGTTCATCTGTCCCAGCCTCCTGTCCCCTTCTCTCGGGGCAGCTGTGGTTGGGTCTTCCTCTGCACTGGCTTCACACCCCTGCTTTGGGCCCTTTTTTGGGCGAGGTGTCTCCATCTGTGTCTCCCGTACTAAAAAGTGCGTCCCTTGAAATCAAGAGCCTCATGGAGTTAATGTTTGCAGCTTCACATATGCACTTGATACAGAATGAGCCTCAGAAAATCAGAGCTGAACCTTTAAAAACGCTGTTTGCCTACATCTATGGCTGTTGACCTGGAGGGTTAGTAAGAAAACCATGTTGCAGATGAATATGTATGATATGCAATAAAAACTAGAAGTGGTACCTCCCATACAGGTTGAGCACCCCTACTCTAAAAATCCAAAATCTTAATTGGGGACCTTTTTGATGTTGACAAGATCCCACAGATTTGACATCATGTGATGAGTCACAGTCAAAATGCAGGTAGACTAAAAATGTCTAAAATTACCTCCAGGCTATGAGGTAGATAGGAAACAGAAATGAATTTTGCATTTAGACTTGAGTCCCATCCCCAAGATATTTCATCATGCGTGAATGCAGGTATTCCAAAATCTGAAAATCAATCCATAATCTAAAACAATTCTGGTCCCTGACATTTCGGAGAAGGGATGTTTGACCCGTACATGCTTTAGGAAGGAGAGAGGGAAGCGACACACTGGACTGTGTTGGTTGCCTAAAGATGCAACAGAAGATGTGGAGAGGATTCTATTGTACTGTACATTTTAGTCAGTTTCTAAATTATAGGGCATACGTGTTACTGTAACAATTTTTGAGAAGTAATTAACTAAAGGATTAAATGCTATAAGAAGAAAATTAGTTTCCTCCTTAGAATTTGGTCAGACCCATCCCTGCCTCATCTTATGCCCGGAACCTTCTGGAACATGGGTTCTGTGCTGACAGCCCATGGCTGCCTGCTCCATCTCTCTGCTTAGGGTGCAAGTCTGTGCTGGAAGAGAGATGGCAGAGGGGCCGACAGAGCATTACAGGGCTGTGGGCAGCGCAGGGTTCAGTCTGCTGAGAGAGGCTTGGCACAGACTCGGAGCCCATCCATCCCCATGTTCTAAGTGCACAGAGCTCTCTGTCTTTGACTGCCAGGCTCAAACTTACAGCCAGAGGCTTGGCTTCAGTTCCATTACGAATGTCCTGAGCCGTGCAGGATCTTAATAAGAAAATTGATTCAGCCCCAGGCTTAATCCCCGAGGTACATTTTTTTTTCCCACGACAGCAAGTTCATGGCTCTGCAGTATCCGATTTAGATGTTTTGAAAATGTATTCTTTGACAAGGCTTAATTAAAGTGGATTGCACCTATATGGAACATTCTACAATTTCCATAACAAACACTATTATTACCAGGAGCAATGTCCTTTTTTTTGTTCTATTGATGTCTTTTATGGTGTTGTCATAAAAAGAAGATTATGACTTCTCATTAGTAGGCAGATGGAGAAGAAGACGTATTTTGATTACCAGAGAGGGGAATAAGTTCTTTCCAAACAGTTACGTTAATAGCCGGTGAGGGCTGGACTGGACATGAATGGGAGGTCCATGCAGATGACTTTTTTATGGCCTGACTTTGGAGCAGCTTCCCTTTGTATGTATCCAAATGAGAGCCATCAAATGTGAAGCTTGTTTTCCAGTTTGGCTAGAAACGAACGTTCCACACTTGTAAATCTTTCTGAAGCTATTATTAACCACTATCAAAACCCACTTTCAGAGCTTCTTAATTTATTAGCAAGAAACTAGGCTTTTTAAAAAAATCCATTATAATTAAATAATGCTTTGCACTATATTTGTGACAATCATCGACTCAAAACTTTATTTTGCCTTTTAATAGCAATAAATTTTTATTGTAAGAAATGAAGAAAGCAATCTTTTCCTATAGCTGAAAAAATAATGACCAACCTTGACTACTCACATCGTGAGGATTTCTCCAACGTTTTTAATTATTGCTTTCAATACCATTTAAAATGACTTATTAGTTAAGCTTTGTGACGTAATTAAACGCACCAATTCTCTATTGATGGGCATTTGCTTTTTTCCAGTTTCTCATCTGTCTAAACAGTCAACCTCCTTATAGGAAATCAGTGTCGGTGTTGCTGATCCAAGTGCATAAGATCAGCTCTGGCAGTGACATCACTGGGCCAAAGGTCCCAGAATGCTTTCACCAAGTGATAATTCGTATGAAACTACTTCAGAGCACTCATGGGAAAATGGAATTAAAAGGTATGTTTATTTTGATAAAAAATGTTTGAAATGCATGCATAATATCCATTTTCTATGAACTTTTTGAAGACCTCACATATGAACATAGGAAGGTTGTGTTACACATGCTTGCCAACACTTGCAAGGCAAAAAATGCAAGTCTGCTCCTTTTTAATAATAAAAAAATTTATATTTATTTTTTATTTGAAAGGCAGAGTTAGAAAGAGGGAGACAGATCTTCCATCTGCTGGTTCACTCCCCAAATGGCCGCAGTGGCTGGGGCTGGGCCAGGCAGAGGCCAGGAACCTAGAACTCCATCTGGGTCTCCCAAGTGGGCATTGGGGCACCAAACTTGGGCCATCTTCCAGCCACTTTAGCACAGAACTGAATGGGAAGTAGAGCAGCTCACTGTGAGCTGAACAGTCTGTTCTTATTTTGGGTTCCTGCCCTTGATTTCCAAGCGGTCACAGATTGCAGGGGTACCTGGACTGACCCCTGGAGGACTCTGAATGCTTCCAGTGCCGGGTTTCAGTAATTCTTACCCCCAGAACTGTTTTAGGGTAATTCCACTTAAATTCTCTACTTTGGTAAAAATATGGGGCTACCCTCATGGAATTTGTCTTGCATCTTTCTCCACCAGCAGGGTTACCAGTGGTGACCCTCCTGATGTAAAAGGGGCTTAGCCCTCCTGAGATTTGAAATTGACTTAAGAAATAATTGTGTTGTATGCAGATCTGTGAACCCCCTACCCCATTTAATGCCAGTTTCATATAGAGCCAATTACCCTGAGCAGATTATGTTTTTAGTTCAGACTAATTATCCATGAATTTAACATATTGGAAGAAGTGCCGGCTGCTTCCATGGGGTGCGTGGAGCCAGGGGAGGGAAGTGTATTACTGAAGAAACAGGGCACTTCAAAGACACAGCTGAAAAGCCAGAAGGAAAACAGACTTGTGATGTATTTGCAGAATGAAATGGGGGTGGAGAGGATGCAAGAAGCTAAGCAATGAGTTCACATCTTTGGGAGTGAATTCATGAATCTCTACCCTGAAGTCTCTTCCTTTGTTGCAGGTCCAGCACTTATTGTGTCTTGCATAACTAATTAATTAGGATGTGCTTTGCCTTGCTTTGCCAAGGGTGCATAATTTATCATGCAGGGCTCCTGAAACAATCTTAGGTAAGTTGTTTTAAAATGTACGCAAATTGACTTGCCCAAGGCTCTGCAGTTCAACAGTGAAATCAGGGCATTCCTCTGAGAAGTGTTGAGCTTTTCCTTATTTGAGGAATCTTTTTTTTTAAGATTTATTTATTTATTTGAAAATCAGAGTTACACAGAGAAAGGGAGGCAGAGAGAAAGAGAGAGGTCTTCCATCTGCTGGTTCACTCCTCAGTTGGCCGCAATGGCCAGAGCTGGGCCAATCTGAAGCCAGGAGCCAGGAGCTTCTTCCGGGTCTCCCATGCAGGTGCAGGGGCCCAAGCACTTGGGCAATCTTGTACTGCTTTCTCAGGCCACAGCAGAGAGCTGGATTAGAAGTGGAGCAGCTGGGACTCAGACCGATGCCCATATGGGATGCCAGCACTGCAGGCGGTGGCTTTACCTGCTATGCACAGCGCCAGCCCCTCTTGAGGAATCTTTAAAACAAGAACTGGGTGAGCATTTTCTTGGCACCCAGTTGAAGTGGATAAGAAGTGGTGTATTTGAAATTTCTGGGCTCCTACCACAGGGCCCAGCCATCCCGCTCCTTGGAATTTACCCAAATGGAATTAAAGGGGAGAAAAAAAGAGCCATTTGCACCTCAATATTTGTTGCACCTCAATTCACAATAGCTAAGACATGGAATCAACCTAAATGTCCATCAACGGATGACTGGATAAAGAAATTATGGGATATGTACTCTATGGAACACTATACAGCAGTAAAAAACAATGAAATCCGGTCATTTACAACAAAATGGAGGAATCTGGAAAATATCATGCTGAGTGAAATAAGCCAGTCCCGAAGGGACAAATATCATATGTTCTCCCTGACCAATGGCAATTAAATGAGCATCTTAAAAGGAAACCTACTGAAGTGAAAATGGACACTATGAGAGACAAGGACATGATCAGCCCTTATCTAGACTGTTGAGGAACAACCTACTATTTTATTCCCTTTAGTATTTTTGTTGTTGTTGTTGTTGCTCTGTGTTTTCTACTTAATACCATTGGTTGAACTCTGTAATCAATACACAATCATTCTTAGGCGTTTAAAATTAACAGACAAGTGATCTCTGTTAAATATAAGAGTGGGAATAAGAGAGGGAGGAGATACATAGGTCGGCACATGCTCACTCAGACTTACCTCCAATGTAGAGCTAGAAATGTGCCAGGGGATTTCAACTCAATCTCATCAAGGAGGCATGTATCAATGCCAGCGCACTTGGTAAAGTGATAAGTATAAGTACATAACCGATCAAAAAGATAGGGTAAGTGTCAAAGAGATTTCACAACTAAGACCAGTGTATGCAAATAATGAAGGATAGAATTAAAAGGGAGAGAATGATCCTGCGGTGGAAGCGGGACACACAGCAGACTCATAGAATGGCAAACGCCCTAAATAGCACTCCGGCCTCAGAATCAACCCTTGGGGCATTCGGATCTGGCTAAAAGGCCCATGAGAGTCTCACAGGCATGGGAAGCCAAGACACAGTGGCAAAAACAACCTAAATGAAAGATCCTGGTGAACAAGACCCCAGCGGAAGGAACAGGCCATCAAGGAGGGAGGCGCCTTTCTCCGAAGGGAGGAAGGAACCTCCACTGTGATATGGCCTTGACTAAACAAGTTCAGAGTCGGTGAACTCAAGGGGCTTCCATAGCCTAGACAGCTCATAGCAAGAGTCTCGGGTGATTGCTGACGTCATAAATAAGAGTGCCAATTGTTAAATCTACAACGGGAGTCACTGGGTACAGGCTCCCCACGTAGTATAACACATTAATGTGTTATACTTTGAAACTTAAAAACAACACTACTAGTCGAACAATGCCCTATACCTTGCGCAGTTGTGTGAGGGCAGCCTGTTGAAATCCTTGCTTAGTGTATACTAAGTTGATCTTCTGTATATGAAGGTGATTGAAAATGAAACTCGATGAAGGGCGGGATGGGAGAAGGAGGGGGAGAGGGGAGGGCCCCGGGAGGGAGGGAGGTGGGGGGGGCACAACAATACAAAAGTTGCACTTTGTAAATTCACATTTATTAAGTAAAAAAAAAAAGAAATTTCTGGGCTCCAGTTCACACTGCACTACTGTGACCAGGGCCTCCATTTCCCCCATTTGCAAAATAGGTGAGAGCCACCAGATTAGGTGGTCTGAGGTGGCTTTGTTCCATGAGTCCCAGGTACAGGGAGACCCAGGCTGAGGGTCCCTGTGGAGTCCTTGTTACTGCAGGGCCAGTGCTGTGTTCCCAGGAGACAACCTGGACCTAAATTAGGGACATTAAAAAAAAAAGAACTGATGATGAGAGTTCTCTGTTATTGAACTTATCCAGGTTTTTTCACCAAGAATTCTAGGAAAAGGCCATTTTGATTTTCTCACAGTTTTATTTGTGCTGGAGTTTGGCATATGTTTTGATTTATGGTTGTGGGTAAGGATGTGGCAGGTGGGGTAGACACCATAGTCTTTTCAGAGCACAAATTCTTTAAAGGACTTGGCTAGACCCTGGATCTGCCCGAGGATTCTGTGCGGGCTGAAACTGCTAATAAAGACTTCTTGGTGTAGGCTGCCTATGGCTGGGGTATAAAACCCCTCTGAAATGTCTTTTATCCAGTGCTACAGGGCTACCAAATAAGGACCTCTTGCTTCCTGTGGCTTTTCCAAATAAGGTATGGGGATATCGTCAGTATAGACGTCAATGTTAATATGCATCTGGGTGTCAGCCAGAGGGATTTTTACAGTCTCACACAGATTCTCTTCAAGGGTGGAAACATGATGGGATGAGGTCATGTTTTCCTGTTGTAATTACTTTTCTATTTGGAGGATAATTTTGACCATGTCTTGTTCGTTGTCAGCAGTGGGGTTTGGGGTAAAGGCAAAGGTGCTCTCTGTTTCTCTCTGGTTTCTGTAGTTTGCTTGAGCCAGATGACTGTCCTGCAGCTGCCGTGTTGAAAACACCTGGCTTCTGCATAGATACCGGAACGTTAATGCTGGAATCAGCCTGGCCATTCTGCTTTGGTTCATGTCATATGCCTGGTGTCGAGGTTATTGAATGTTTCACTTTAAGGAAGGGCAGAGCTGAGCTGGTTAAGTCTTTATGAAGCTGAAGTGATTCACCCATGGAATAAAGAGTTACCAGTGCCTAGCTGAGTGGGCTTCAATGGAGAGAGGTGAAATTAGGGGCTCCCAAAACCTTTGCATGCTCAGTTCACAGCTCGAAAAAGGCTGAGAGAGAGAGAGAGAGAGACTATAGAGAACTGGCAGAGGCCAAGGAGGGGACCCTAGCTTGATGGGCTGAGCCTCCAATTTCTGGGCCAGAGGTCACAGAACAGAGGTCTACAATGTGACCTATAGAATGCTTAAACATCTCAATTCAGTTGTTAGCACTTGAAAAGGCAGGAACTTCATATTAAAAGTCTGATTTCTCAGCTTATTTTGATACAGAATTCCCAAGAACACTGAGGTGGCACTTCCCCGTGGCAATGGCTTCTGGAGCTATGTGGGGCTGCTCTTGGTCCCCCTACCCAGCCGCAGCACTCTGTACCACGTTCTCTCCCCAGCTGCCTCCTGAATTTGCTTATCCCATTACCTGCCTGTCCTGTGCCTCTAAACGGATGCCATGTACACCCTTCTGGGCAGCAGGGCTCAGCTTTCCTCCATGTAAAGTGAGGAGTTGGATTGGATAGGCCCTAAATTTCTCCCAACTCTCAGATTTTGTGATGATTGGGAATTTTTAAATTCTTCCTTTGGGGGCATTTATTTGGCCTTGTGGTTAAGCCACTGGTTGGGACACCTGCATCCTGTATCAGAGTGCCTGAGTTTGAATCCCAGTTCTGGCTCCCAATTCCAGCTTTCTGCTAGTGCAGACCCTGGGAGCCATCAGGTGACAGTTGGCCCCTGCCACCCATGTAGGAGACCTGGACTTTGCTTCCTGACCCCAGCTTTGGTCTGTACCAGCCCTGGCTATCGTGGGCATTTGAGGAATGGCCCAGCCAATGGGAATTCTCTCTGTCTCTGCATCTCTGCCTCTCAAATAAAATAAATAAATATAAATAAAATAAATGTTCCCACTTCAGATGTACTTTAAAAGGCAGTGACATTTTGACCTTGGAGTATTCTAGAAGACATGAAGCACTTATAAAGTCAACAGTCGTGTGGCATAGTAAGACCAAGACTTCCAGGAGTGTGAGGGATTTAGGGGAGAACTGAGGAGTGCTTTTGCTGTGGGGTTAGCCTCCCCCCTCAGTCCAGCCAGGAGGCCACAGGACAGGGCTGTTGGCACACGGTCATCTTTGCTCTCTTCTTGTCTGGGGCCAGCTGTGTCAGTCCAGCCCAGTTGCTTTCAGATTTCCCAGGCCTGTCCTTCGTCCTGAATCTTGGAACTTTCTTTCCCAATCCAGTGGGTTTCTGGGTATGCCAGGAACATCAGGCCAGGAGCTGGCCAATCGGATTCTCAGATTTCACCTCTGGAAGAAAATTCTTCAAGTTCTTTTTTTTTTTTTTTTTTTGGACACGCAGAGTGGACAGTGAGAGAGAGACTGAGAGAAAGGTCTTCCTTTGCCATTGGTTCACCCTCCAATGGCCGCCACGGCCGGCACACTGCTGCCGGCGCACCATGCTGATCCGAAGGCAGGAGCCAGGTGCTTCTCCTGGTCTTCTCCCATGGGGTGCAGGGCCCAAGCACTTGGGCCATCCTCCACTGCACCCTCCGGGCCACAGCAGAGAGCTGGCCTGGAAGAGGGGCAACCGGGACAGAATCTGGCGCCCCGACCGGGACTAGAACCCGGTGTGCTGGCGCCGCAAGGCGGAGGATTAGCCTATTGAGCCACGGCGCCGGCCAAAATTCTTCAAGTTCTAAAGCCCCATGTTGCCAAGGTTCATTCAGGCTCCCCTCCTGCAAAGGCTCAGCGCACATGGAGTGCAGAACACAGGATCACTGGGGCTCCGGTGTAGGCCGAGACCTCTGGTCTGGAGAAACGCTCCATGGCCTGCACAGAGAACTCTACCACGGAGAGGAAATGTGTCCCCGTCTCCTTTATCTCCACTTTCAAGGGTCGTTTATGTAAACACCTGACTTTTGCAGAGAAGCAGAAGGAAACAATTTTAAAAGTGTAGAAAAATAAAAAAACAAATGGTTAACATTTTTCCAGTGACATTTATGCTTCTAAAACACAACCCCTATTACATGTCACCATAGGCCTTTGTCCCTGTGGAGTTTTGTATCAGGTTCAAGTTCCCTGATAGTCTTTCTCCTTCGGTTCTGAACAATAGGCAGGAAAGCCTGTTGCTCCTTTCCACTGGGAGGAAGCCTGGTCCTCGGCTCACCTTCTCCTCAACAGGCTTCTCCTGTTCCCACGCCCTCTGCTCACCTGACTTCTCCTGTGAAATGCAGGACAGCCTCCAGGCTCCACCTGTGAGGTGCTGCTCACTGTCCTGCTGTCTCCTCTGAGAACCCCTGTTGCTCCTCTCAAGTCCTTGCACTGGGCTCAGTCACTGTTCCTGGCACGTGTGCCTGGGAAGGGCTTTCCTCTGCGGGATTTTGTCTCTTGAACTCCAATGCAGCTTAGTTAATCACTGAATTAGAACTTTGAGCCTAAGCCACAGGGTCCTTGGATACAGTGAGGGCTTTAGTAAATACTTGTTGAGTTAATGAATGAAAGAAAAGCTGAAGGGACCAAGTGCTCTCAATACTAGTGGTGTCCCAGCTCTCTCCTGGCTTTCCATCTCACAGCAGTTGCACTCCCTGTGTCCTGCAGTCACTGTAACTGGTGAGCAGTCCCCACTCCAAGGCACACAGGCACACAGCACCAGCTAGTGTCTGGCCCAGGCTGAGGTCCGTTGTTCAAGGTTGTGTTTTCTTGATGATTCACAGGTTGACAAGCTGATGGATTCTCTGAGAACATTTACTCTATTCCTTCCTCTAGGCACACTTTCGGAGTGAGCTGCACTAGTCACTTTGTCTTCCTTATCTCTTATGCTGCAGTGAAAATCGTGGGTCTGACCAGTTACTGATGAAAGAGTAGCCAAGCAGGAAAGAGGCCTGCCCGTACATACCATGTTCAAGGAACCCACAGTTTATCTTCTCTAATCACTTCTTCCCTTGCGATAGCTGTTGTCTGGAAGTTATTCAGATACTTATTTAATGAACAGATGAGAGTAATATGCAGTAACTCTATTAGTCAGGGCTCTCCTCAGAAATAAAACCTACAGGGTGTGTGTGTGTGTGTGTGTGTGTGTGTGTGTATGAAGGTGCCCAAAGAGATTTTTCATAAGGCATTAGCTCGCTTGATTACGGAGGCCAGCAAGGGTGCAGATCTGCAGGTGTGTCAGCAAGCTGGACACCTAGGGGGAGCTGACGATGTGGTTCTTGTCCGAAGGCGAGCAGGCTTGAGACCCAAGAAGAAATGGTGTATCAATTGATTCAGAAGTTAAGGGGGAAAAATGCAGGCCTAACACAAAGGCTGTCAGGCAGTAAGAATTCTGTCTCCCTGGGAAGGAGGAGCAGGTCAGCTTTGTGTTCTAGTGGGTCTTCAACTGATAGGGTGAGGCCCATCCACACTGGGGAGAGCAATGCGCATTACTGCATTTACTGATTTCAATGTGAATTGTCCCAAAACACCCTCACATAAACACTCAGAACTCTTTTTGACTGAAGATCTAGACACCTGTTGGTGTCTTCAAGCAGACACATAAAATTAGCCATCATAGTAACCATATGCAGAGATTTCTGTATCATAAGCACTTTTATAGTGGCTTACAGCCCGTAAAGGACAACTTGTTTTACATCGTTTAAGTGTTCTGCAATTTTATTGAGACTGAATAAGCCAACTTCTCAGACCTCGGCGGGCGGAGAGGAGGAGAATGGGGAGGACTAGAGATCAGTGGGAGGGGGGCACATCCCTGCATAAGGAGTGCCCCAGCTATTGTGGGAGAGAGTGTGGGCACAGCTTTTCTCCTTTCCAGACCTGGCAGATGGAGAGTGCACTGCTTTACAGTGAGCCGTGAGCCTTGGGGAGCCAGTGAAGACCTGTGGTCGGTGGGCCTTCCAGGAGATCATTCAGTAGCAAGACAGAGTTCACCTCGCACACCCTGGTGATTTCTGACACTGGTTTTGCTGGGAATAAGCCGCCTGGATGCTGGATTAATTTATTAGTTAAAGGTAGCTATTATTTTGTATATAATTTCCATGATGATAAAAATAAAAGCCATTGTTGAATGCTTACCATGTACCATTTCCTATGTTTTGTTTAAGTTTTTTTTTAATCAATCTAAGCAGCAAAACTGCAGAATACATTTTTGCTCTCACTTTGCAGGTGTCAGACTGAAGGTCTGATTCAGTAAGCCTCCTGTTCCAGGTTACAGAGCCGGTAAGTGCAGAACTGACAATGGTGTGCTGGACTTGTGACCACAAAGCCCATACTCTTCTACCTCTTTGGTTGCTTTGTGAGAACACCCCATCGTTACACAGGCTGACCAGTCATTCTGAGACCTGGTACTAGAATCCTGCCCCTCTGCCCCTCCACGCTAATTTTTAAAAGCAGATTTTGTTGTGATGGATGAACTTTTTTTAAATGATTCTGTATGTTATACTGCTAAGTGTAGGCTCTACCTGTATCAAACATCTGTTCTTTCTACATCACAGCATTTTTCTGAGACAGAATAAAAAACTGCAGAGGAGGGCAGGCAATTTTAGCCTACAACAATTTTCAATTTTAGAACACTTTTGCAAATGGTACCAAAGGAGGTACATATTCCATGTGGAATAGACGAGGACATTGTGTTCCTTCCAAACAAATCCAGGAAGAAAAGAATGGAAACCAAACTTTTATTTTAAAAGCATTAAAAAGCCGCTGCTGTGTGCTCAGTCCCTCACCTTGGGTACCCATGCTGTGCCCAGCATAGGACTATACCCGTGGAGACAGAGAAGAAAAGAAGGCAGGGCCTGTCCTTCCAGGTAATTGATTGAGGGAGCGTTGTCAGAGAAAAAAGAATGCCACTCCGATTACTTTGAAGACAATGGAGTATTGAAGGAAAGCACAGTCCAGCCAGGTCCCATGGAGGGGGTTGGAGGGAGAAAGGAGGCCTGAGACAACCTTCCACCTCCGTGGTCTCCATAGTGTCCCCTCTGCTGTGTCCCACACACGGGCTCCATTCTTCACATAGCTACTTTCTATGAATTCACTGCTGTGGACTCCATAGGGAGACACATGTAAATGAAGATGTCCACATGCATGAGTAACACCCTCAAAGGGGAGATGATGCTCATTGACTTTCTGTGTAGCTTTAGTCCTGTCCTGTCTGTCTCTCATCTTCAATTCCTTACGCACATCTGGGTGTGAAACCTGGCTTTACTTGCCTTAGCTAATTTGGGGTAAGTCTTGTGACTCGGTTCCTTATTTTGTAAAGTAGAGATGATGGCTTCTAACTCATGTATTCACGAGGAGGAGTCAATGAAAGAAACATTCCAAGTGCGTTCATGAAAGCTAATAAATGGTAGTTGTTAAGATTTTTATAGCTTTCTAAGTAGGGGGGAGGGAGCTATTGATTCAGGGTGCTGGCTGGGTGGGTTGATGCAAACTCTGGTTCTTGGGAACCCTGCCCTTGATTTTAGGAGTCTTTGCTTAGGGAAACTGTTAGTGGAGGGGGCAAGACAAGACATAAGAATATAACTGCAGAGGGGTACTGGGAGCAGAACTGGATCGAGACCTGGGGATGCCAGAGCAGTCTGGAGCTTAACAAAAGGCCCAGAAGGTAGACCTTCTGCCTCCAATATCTGTGAGTGGAGATGGTCCTGTCACCTGACTCAGAGCATGAAGAAGCTAGAGACTCTGTTAGGGTAGAGAATCCACCTTTCCTTTTCACTGCTGTGTCCTTACCTCTTGGCACAAAGATCGGCTCAAACTAGCGACTCAACAAGCATGTGTTGATGAATTGCAGAAAAGAAAGTTCAGTACCTGGAACATTGCATGTGCAAACAGAACTGGCAGAGGCCATTGGAACTGTGTGCTACAGTCATAGATGTTACTAGTCCCAGCGAATGACACAGCTCAGGGTCATAAGCAGACAAATCAGTCTAAAACCACTACCACTACCATCTTCATCATATTGATAGCTACCATTTTTGAGCACTTTGGTGGTGGGGGGAGGAGAGATTCTCTATTAAATTGCCTTATTTTATTTTAATTCTTGCAATTCTGTGAGATAGATGTCATCATCCTTATCTTACAGTGGTAGAAACTGAGGCCTAGAGAGTAAAAATCTTTTCTTGCATTACCTATATAGTGGGTGGAGGAGTTGTGATTCAAATCTAGATGTGTCTGGCTCCAAATAAAGTTACATCATCTGCCCACACATGTGGCCTCTCTGAATAGTCAGAAATGGCCACTCTTAGATGGCAGCCTTTGTGTCACCCAAGTTGGGCTATTTTATTATGTCCACTTCTCTCATCTATTTGTATTGGCTAGTAATAATAAACATTGATGGCGGGCCTCCTTGTCTTGTTTCTAACAAGGATCACAAATTAAAAAGGATTTGTGTTTCTTGAGCCAGAGGTAACTGGTTGAAGGTGGGACAATGGTTATAGATGTGAGATGACCATCAAGAGACAGAAATAATTCAGGGGAAAGAGTCATTCAACCTTCACAATGGTCCTTTCTGTCTGGAGATAAAAGGAGGCAGTGAGTTCTTTGGCAGTCCTCACATCCAGGGGTGGGCGTACATCTCAGCCATTTTAATCTGGGGAGGCTTTGTGACCAACGGAACAATGTGGAAATGACGCTATCATAGACCCCAAGAAATAGGGAGCATATATGTCCTGGCTCTTTGAACTTCATTCTGTCAGCTCCAAGGCATGGTGCGGAAGACTGAGCGCTCTGAGCCCAGTAGGCTGAAAGCTCAACATGTAGATTTCTCAGTCCAGCAATTCAGTGAGTCCAGCCTTGCAGCTGCCTCCACTAGCATGCCTGCCAGGCACGGGAGTGCAGCCATCTGGTCCTCCAGACCAGACCATCTGCCAGCTGCATTCCACTCGCTGATTTCAGTTGATGCTATGTGGCGCAGAAGACGTAACCCGGCTGAGCCTTGCCCAAGTTCCTGAGCCATGAAATCATGAGCTATAATAGAGTTGTTGCTTTCTAGAAGCCACTCAGTTTTGAAGTGGTTTGTTTTGCACTAATAGAGAATTAAAACAATCATTCTTCATACCTCCCTTCTTGCTCAAACTGAGGGAAGACTTCAAGTGTTGGTCAAATAAGAACATTTCTAGGGAGGAAGAGGGATAGTGAGTGTAATTGGCATGAGAATATTTAGGGATGGTTGAAACTCTGAAGTTGAATCTCTGTGGACTGAGACCTTATTCTTGTCTGCTCAAATCAAAGAAGGCATTTCTAGGTGCATGTGAGCCTTTGGGGTTAAACGGGACAGGATTGTGCATTCGGGAAGAGAAAGGGCTGTTGTCTTGCTGTGAAGAGCCTTCCTGGTCTAACGTGCTGAAGGAGAAAGCCCTATTCCCTTTGGCTGGGGCATGGCTGGGCGCACATGGTTCGATGAAGTGGCTTCTGGGGTGGAGGGTCTGGCTCATGGAATGAGGATGCAGCTTATTCTCTTGGCCTCTTCATCTTTTATGCACCTCTGGTCATATTGAGGTCTCCTATTCTTTTTCCTATTTACAAAAAGAGTTGCTGCTTTGCTAATGTGACAGCTGTAAAATACCATGCTAAATTAGTTTGAATTATTGTAAACATCATTGTCTCTGCACTTGTTACTTATGTACTCTTTGACAGGCCCCTGAAGCTAGAGGCACAGTCCTGCCCTCAGAGAGCTCGCTGCCTGTTGGAGGATTAAGACGTTCAAGAGAATTGCAACACAGAGGGTAAGTGCCACATTTAGGATCAGGCCAGGAGCTGCAGAAGCCCAGGCAGGGAAGGGAAGTCTGCCAAGAACTTCATGGGGGAAGGGAGAGACAGAGCAGATCAGACAGGAACTAGAACTCTTTTGCAATGACAAGAGCTTCAGAATGGAGCATGTTCTCCGAGGCTTTTTGTCTTCAGAGGTCACACAGCAGGGGTGATGGTGAGGAATTCAAGTCAGCAGTGGGCACCCTGAGGGTCCTCCTGTGCCTTCAGGAGCACAGTGGAAAGGAGGCAGGACCCTAACCCTGATTTGTCCCTGCAGAGGCTCAGATCTGAGTGGTGGCTTCTGCTTGATTGCTTAGGGGCCCATGGGTGACAGTGAAGATGCAAAGGACGGGTGCGTTATTGAGTGCCGATGCACGGTTCCATATTATCTCCTTTATGTTTCCAAGCATGTCTGAGGGAAGAAATATCAGGTTCTGCTTTACAGCTGAGGAAGCTGAGGCTTCCATGGCTAAATGCTTTCGGGCCACACATCTCCTTAGTGGCTCAGTTGGGTTTCACATTACATCCTGATGTGGTCCTAACTTCACGCGTCCGTTCTTTCAAAGAAGCAAAGTTGGGCAGAGTTAAAGTCCCTGATGTGAATCTGGTACTTCATCATCTTATCAAGTTTTAAGGTCAGATTATGCCGGTCCTGGAGGAGAGTCTGAGGTCATCTAGTCAGCCCAACCGTAACTTAAGCTCTTGCATTTTTCATGCATGAAAGAAGATCAGGAATGTGATAGTAGACATTGCCTTCACGTCCATTCAGCTCTCTGTTGGGCAGAGTTTGATCATCATAACTAATTCCAGGACACTGTCCTTTTCTTATATCACGCACGTTTTCTCATGTCCCACTCCTCTTTCAGTGGGATGCGGATTTATTGGAATACTGAATCGTATATTCTCTTTGATCATGATTTTGTTTTGTGGTCAAGAAGACCAGAAGGAAACACATCCATAAATTGAAAGTCATCGTCTCTGGGTTATGGAATGACTACTGATCTTTCTATTTCTATAGCTTTTTTTTTTTGGACTTTTTTTTTAAACTTTTATTTAATGAATATAAATTTCCAAAGTACGGTATTTCTATAGCTTTTTTTTCTGTATGGTTTAATCCTTTTCTGGCGAAAAGCCTGTTGTTTGGAAATATTTCAGTGCAGCAGGCAGACTGCACCTCAGATCTAGAGTTGTTGAATCCTGTCTCAGCCCAGGAGGTCTGGGGTTAGGGTCCCTTCCCCCCAAAAGAGCAGGTGAAACTGACAGATCAAAGCCCTCCTTGCAGGTGCTTCACACACACCTAGGCTTGGAGAACATTTGTGAGTGCCCAGTGGAAGTGTTATTTTCCTCGCCCTGCCTCTCAGAGATATTGAAAAAGATTAAAGAGACAAAGTCAACAAGTTTCTTTGAACTGTGTAGAAGAAAGAACGGGTGTTGGACCAAACATTGTTTATTTCTAGCAGTAAAAGTCTCTCTTAAGGTTGGCATGTATTGTGCTAGCTTTATTGATATTCCTGATGTTGTGTATAACAGTAATACTCTGATCCCCTCACCAGGCCAGTTCTGTCCCAGTCACCATAAGGAAACTGTGCATCTGTCCTTGATAAGCCCCTGCTTGAAACCCTTCCAGGGGGTTCTTATTCCATTCTGTGTTAAAGAAAATGAATTATCTACCGATACTTTCTGCTCTTAACATTGAACTTCAGCAAGTCCAACTACATTTACCTCAGGGCTTTTGCATGTTTGTCCCTGCATCCAAAATACCTTTGCTCTTCTGGCACACCTTGAAAAATGCCGTGCAGTCTTAGAAACCATGGTCTGGAGACCTCTTCTGTGAATCCTGCCTAGGTTTCTCTTCCCCTCCTGACAAACACTTCAGTATTACCTCAGTAATTCACACCTATTCCTGCTATTAAATGAAATACAGGGGGCTGTTTTCACTTGCTTGCTTTTTCACTGGGCCATGAGAATTGAAAGAATGGTGTCTAATCACTGTGCTCCCAGTGCCTAACAAATGACTGACACAGGATTCACAATAAGGAAGTCCGTTGGATTGAACTGTTGAGCTGTGTACAGGATAAGCTTTGAACAACACAGAAGGGGAAAGATGTAGCAGTATCTCTGTCTGTGTAACTTACAGTTTGGCTGCACATCATTCAGAAGATTCCTTTGTTTCATTCTTGCTTATGTGGGTCATGAGACAACAACCCTAACTATTCCAGTTAAAACTATTCCAGTTAAAACTGTATGAAATATTACTCTGTTCCTCCATTAAACAGACTGAGATGCAATGAAGTCACATAGATGGTGAAAGGCGCACCTGCATGCAAATCATTGGTCTCCCACATCAGCACAGACAGTTAGGGTGCTCTGCCAGCCTGTTTTATGATGAGGGGCACTTTGAAGTAAGGTCTCTGGGCAATGTGACTGTGAGCTTGATCAGCAATGTTGAGGGTAAATCACCTCTGATAGGGAAATGACTTCAGACAGGACTGCGGCTTGCTGGAAAGTTGCATTTCTGTCATCAGGTCCCTTCATTTCCTTGAGATGGGTGTCATGACAAGTCCCAGTCCAGGTCTGTGTCTAGGAGAAACATTTCCACAGAAGTTTTATGTATGCTGACCTCCCTTATATTCTCTAAATTTCAACGTCCACCAAACTGGCACTGCTACATGGGGCATGGGTGTGAGAAAGGGCACTCTAGCTTTCATTACCTTCCCATTTATTCTTTTTTTCCCCCAAAGAAACCTTTGTTTGTACTTTAATGAGTACAAATTTCATGAGTATGATTTTAGTAATATAGTGATTCTTCTCACCATTCCTGTCCTCCAACCCACACTCCCACCCCACTTCCTCCTCTCTCTCTCATTCCCTGTCCCATTCTCCATTAAGATTCATTTTCAATTAACTTTATACACGGAAAACCAACTCTATACTAAGTAAAGATTCAACACTTTTCACACACACACACACACACACACACACACAACTGTTTGAGATCCAGTTTTACAGCTAATTCTCATAATAAAACTCATTGTGGACAGAGGTCCAACATGGGAAGTAAGTGCACAGTGACTCCTGTTGTTAATCTAACAATTAACATTCCTATGTTTGACATCAGTGATCACTCCAGGCTCTTGACATAAGCTGCCACAGCTATGGAAACCTTTTGAATCCACAATCTGTCAGTATTTAGACAAGGCCATAAGCAAAGTAGAAGTTCTCTTCTATATAGGTCTATATTCAGATTTCTGAGGTATCTCCAAGCTGACTTCCATAGTGGTTTTACCAGTTTACATTCCCACCAACAGTGGATTAGGGTACTTTTTTCTCTAGATCCTTGCCCGCATTTGTTATTTGTTGATTTCTGTGTGTAAACCATTCAAACCAGGGTTAGGTGAAACCTCATTGTGGTTTTTATTTGCATTTCCCTGACAGCTAGTAATCCTGAACATTTTTTCATGTGTCTGTTGGCCATTTGAATTTCTTCTTTTGAAAAATGTTTTTTTTTTTTAAGTCCTTTGCTAGTTTCTTAATGGGGTTGTTTGTTTTGTTGTTGTGGAGTTTCTTGATCTCTTTGTAGATTCTGGTTATTAATCCTTTATCATTTGCATAGTTTGCAAATAATTTCTTCCATTCTGTTGGTTACCTCTTCACTTTCCTGACTGTTTCTTTTGCAGTAAAGAAACTTCTCAATTTGATGTAATCCCAATTGTTAATTTTGGCTTTGATTGCCTTTGTTTCTGGGGTCTTTTCCAAAAACGCTTTGCTATTCCAATGTCTTGCAGGGTTTCCCAAATGTTCTCTAATAATTTGATGGTATCAGGTCATAGATTTAGGTCTTTAATCTATTTTGTATGGATTTTTGTGTAAGGTGTAAGGTAGGGGTCCTGCTTCATTCTTCTGCATGTGGAGATCCAGTTTTCCCAGCACCATTTGTTGAAGAGATGGTCCTTGCTCCTAGCTCCTTGGACAAATATAAGTTGGTTGTAGATGTTTGGATTGATGTCTGGCATTTCTATTCTGTTCCATTGATCTATCCATCTGTTTTTGTACCAGTACCAGACTGCTGTGATTATAACTGCCTTGTAGTATGTCTTGAAATCTGGTATTGTGATGTCTCTGGCTTTTTTTTGGTTATTGTTGCTTTAGCTATTTGAGATCTCCTGTGTTTCCACATGTGTTTGAACATCATTTTTTTCTAGATCTGAGAAGAATGTCTGGTATTTTGATTGGTATTGCATTGGATCCGTAAATTACGTTTGGAAGAATGGACATTTTGATGATGTTGATTCTTCTAATCCATGTACATGGAAGAGTCCATTTTTTGTATCTTCTCTTTCTTTCTTTAATGTTTTGTAGTTCTCATTGTAGAGATCTACACCCCATCAAACATCAAGAAGAGAGCTGGGCTACAGTGGGTGGGGCTCCATGCTTCCACTTGCAGACACACAGCAGCTCATAACAAGGGAAACCTCACTATAAGAAAATCTCCACAAATTAGAGGTGAGGTTCACTGAGCAGGGTGATATAACCCTGAACACACCAGAGACTAACACAGGGGCATTCCACAACTATGAGGAAAAGGGCGGGTCACATCAACAGAAGTGAACAACCTCCTCTAACCAAGAAAACAGAGGAAAGCTACAAAGCCCCATGGGGGATTTACATTGGATACTTCCTTCATCCTGGAATACTGAAAAGAGCATCCAGGCCACATCCAATACACACCTCTTGGAACTCACTAAAAGTATAGACGTCCCGCTAAATCACAAAGACAAAAATTAATTAAAGAGGAAAGCAACCATACAAAGAAAGAAAGAAAATACACAAGTGCTGAAAAGCAAAGGAAAAACTGTAAATAAGAATAAGGAAGACACTATGAGCCCCCCAAAGGAACAATACAACTCTTCCGTAAGAGCAGGTGAGGAGGAAGAGATCAAGGATATGCCAAAAACAGAATTCAGAAAATTAATCATCAGATTACTTAGAAGCAATCAAAAGCAAATTCACGATCTAAATAAAATTCTCCCAAGAAATTGAGATATTAATGAGAAGTCAGAATAAAATACTAGAAATGAAGAATTCAATAGCTCTGTCTCTGGTGAGTATCTTCTCTCCTTTTTCACTATGTATTTTGCCCACGTGACTTGGGTCATCCTGTTGCTTACTGCCATCTGGGGACCTCGCACTAGCAACCTCCTCATTTATTCTGAAACATTCTAGGTCTGATTCTGCTCAACAGGCCTACTCTACCTCCCATGTTGCCACATCCTCTTCCTTCTCCTTCTTCTCTTTTAGTGTTTTAAGTATCCCATGACCAGCAATAGGGCCATTCCACATTAAACCTCAAAACTTATGGGATACAGCAAAAGCAGTGTTAAGAGGAAAGTTTCAATAGGTGCCTACATCAAGAAATTGGAAAGGCACCAAATAAATGAGCTTTCAATGCATCTCAAAGATCTAGAAAAACTGCAGCAAACCAGATCCAAAACTAGTAGGAGAAGAGAAATAACTAAAACTAGAGAAGAAATAAACAGAATTGAATAAAAAAATTACAAAAGATCAGCCAAACGAAGAGATAGTTTTTTGAAAAAAATAAACAAAATTGACACATCACTGGCCCAATGAACTAAAAAAAGAAGAGAAAAACCCAAATCAATAAGATCAGAGATGAAAAAGGGAATGTAACAACAGATACCACAGAAATAAAAAGAGTCATCAGAAATTACTACAAGGACTTGTATGCCAGCAAACAGGGAAATCTATCAGAAATGGATAGATTCCTGGACACATACAACCTACTTAAATTGAACTATGAAGACATAGAAAATATAAACCGACCCATAACTGAGACAGAAATTGAAACAGTAATAAAGGCCCTCCCAACAAAGAAAAGCCCAGGACCAGATGGATTCACTGCTGAATTCTACCAGACATTTAAAGAAGAACTAACTCCAATTCTTCTCAAACTATTCA